CAAGGAAACACAAACTTTAACGGACACAATGGACCAGCTAGACCTAATTGACATCTATAGGACGTTTCACCCCAAAACAATCAACTTCACCTTTTTCTCAANAAAAAAAAAAAAAAAAAAAAAAAAAAAAAAAAAAAAAAAAAAAAAAAAAAAAAAAAAAAAAAAAAAAAAAAAAAAAAAAAAAAAAAAAAAAAAAAAAAAAAAAAAAAAAAAAAAAAAAAAAAAAAAAAAAAAAAAAAAAAAAAAAAAAAAAAAAAAAAAAAAAAAAAAAAAAAAAAAAAAAAAAAAAAAAAAAAAAAAAAAAAAAAAAAAAAAAAAAAAAAAAAAAAAAAAAAAAAAAAAAAAAAAAAAAAAAAAAAAAAAAAAAAAAAAAAAAAAAAAAAAAAAAAAAAAAAAAAAAAAAAAAAAAAAAAAAAAAAAAAAAAAAAAAAAAAAAAAAAAAAAAAAAAAAAAAAAAAAAAAAAAAAAAAAAAAAAAAAAAAAAAAAAAAAAAAAAAAAAAAAAAAAAAAAAAAAAAAAAAAAAAAAAAAAAAAAAAAAAAAAAAAAAAAAAAAAAAAAAAAAAAAAAAAAAAAAAAAAAAAAAAAAAAAAAAAAAAAAAAAAAAAAAAAAAAAAAAAAAAAAAAAAAAAAAAAAAAAAAAAAAAAAAAAAAAAAAAAAAAAAAAAAAAAAAAAAAAAAAAAAAAAAAAAAAAAAAAAAAAAAAAAAAAAAAAAAAAAAAAAAAAAAAAAAAAAAAAAAAAAAAAAAAAAAAAAAAAAAAAAAAAAAAAAAAAAAAAAAAAAAAAAAAAAAAAAAAAAAAAAAAAAAAAAAAAAAAAAAAAAAAAAAAAAAAAAAAAAAAAAAAAAAAAAAAAAAAAAAAAAAAAAAAAAAAAAAAAAAAAAAAAAAAAAAAAAAAAAAAAAAAAAAAAAAAAAAAAAAAAAAAAAAAAAAAAAAAAAAAAAAAAAAAAAAAAAAAAAAAAAAAAAAAAAAAAAAAAAAAAAAAAAAAAAAAAAAAAAAAAAAAAAAAAAAAAAAAAAAAAAAAAAAAAAAAAAAAAAAAAAAAAAAAAAAAAAAAAAAAAAAAAAAAAAAAAAAAAAAAAAAAAAAAAAAAAAAAAAAAAAAAAAAAAAAAAAAAAAAAAAAAAAAAAAAAAAAAAAAAAAAAAAAAAAAAAAAAAAAAAAAAAAAAAAAAAAAAAAAAAAAAAAAAAAAAAAAAAAAAAAAAAAAAAAAAAAAAAAAAAAAAAAAAAAAAAAAAAAAAAAAAAAAAAAAAAAAAAAAAAAAAAAAAAAAAAAAAAAAAAAAAAAAAAAAAAAAAAAAAAAAAAAAAAAAAAAAAAAAAAAAAAAAAAAAAAAAAAAAAAAAAAAAAAAAAAAAAAAAAAAAAAAAAAAAAAAAAAAAAAAAAAAAAAAAAAAAAAAAAAAAAAAAAAAAAAAAAAAAAAAAAAAAAAAAAAAAAAAAAAAAAAAAAAAAAAAAAAAAAAAAAAAAAAAAAAAAAAAAAAAAAAAAAAAAAAAAAAAAAAAAAAAAAAAAAAAAAAAAAAAAAAAAAAAAAAAAAAAAAAAAAAAAAAAAAAAAAAAAAAAAAAAAAAAAAAAAAAAAAAAAAAAAAAAAAAAAAAAAAAAAAAAAAAAAAAAAAAAAAAAAAAAAAAAAAAAAAAAAAAAAAAAAAAAAAAAAAAAAAAAAAAAAAAAAAAAAAAAAAAAAAAAAAAAAAAAAAAAAAAAAAAAAAAAAAAAAAAAAAAAAAAAAAAAAAAAAAAAAAAAAAAAAAAAAAAAAAAAAAAAAAAAAAAAAAAAAAAAAAAAAAAAAAAAAAAAAAAAAAAAAAAAAAAAAAAAAAAAAAAAAAAAAAAAAAAAAAAAAAAAAAAAAAAAAAAAAAAAAAAAAAAAAAAAAAAAAAAAAAAAAAAAAAAAAAAAAAAAAAAAAAAAAAAAAAAAAAAAAAAAAAAAAAAAAAAAAAAAAAAAAAAAAAAAAAAAAAAAAAAAAAAAAAAAAAAAAAAAAAAAAAAAAAAAAAAAAAAAAAAAAAAAAAAAAAAAAAAAAAAAAAAAAAAAAAAAAAAAAAAAAAAAAAAAAAAAAAAAAAAAAAAAAAAAAAAAAAAAAAAAAAAAAAAAAAAAAAAAAAAAAAAAAAAAAAAAAAAAAAAAAAAAAAAAAAAAAAAAAAAAAAAAAAAAAAAAAAAAAAAAAAAAAAAAAAAAAAAAAAAAAAAAAAAAAAAAAAAAAAAAAAAAAAAAAAAAAAAAAAAAAAAAAAAAAAAAAAAAAAAAAAAAAAAAAAAAAAAAAAAAAAAAAAAAAAAAAAAAAAAAAAAAAAAGAAAGAAGAGTTATGGTTTCTCACTTAAATAAATTTCCTTTAGTTATGTCTTTCACTTTGTGGGCATAATATTTGAAGTGATATTACACAGATAAGCCTCCTCAGTGCTTTAAACAGAAGTTGAAGAGATAATTTTACTTTGAGGTCTGGTTAGAAAATGCCATAGTCAAGACTAAAGGGCAACTTTTGGGACAGTACTAATGAGAAGTAGGTAGTATGTGCATAAAAATCAACAACTCTTATGTATGTGTGTTTAATTACGTGTATATCTGTGTATACATATCATTGGGAAGAAGTATTTTCTAACATATAAAAGGCATCCTTTTAGCAGCTAATACCATAACCTTAATGAGCAACTCAATTACTCTAGATCTGCTTTAATTTAGTATGAAGAATTGTATTAAATAAACCATATTACATTCTCAATTAGGGGGCTGCCACATTAAAGGAGAAAGAGAAATCTGTTTTCCATCAGTTACATCAGAACACAAAGCAGATCTATATAGTTCTATGTTACCCTATAGTGTGTTAATCAGATACAAGGTGTGACGGAAGCCAGTGACAAAGAGTTTTCCTGATAGTGAACAGGCTCTGATAATAGGCTGGTTAAGGCTTTATAACGTTTCAGTGGTTAAGTAGTAAACAAAATGATATAGGACTTCAAAAAGGATGGCACATTCCACCTAAAATCAAACCATAAGTCTTTAATGATACTGTAGAGTTTTTGAAAACGTGCTTAAGATAATAATGTCACGACCTGAGAAGAAAAAAAAAGATAAAGCATGTTTACCTTTAAATACAAGACAAACTAAAGTTCCATAGCAAGGATGTTAGGGTGCACTCCTTGTGAAAAGAAGCATTTCAAAAACGAAGAAATAGAACTATATTTCTAGAGTATTTCCACAATAGCTTGATAAATTTGGATGACATTTCTTGGCTGTGTTTGAGCTATATGGCATCTGAGTTCTCAGAGTTATTTTCTGATGATGAGGAGGTAGTGGTGTAAGAGGAGAGTAGAGATTTGGGGGAGAGGGGTTAAAGGGAATTGGTTTTAATTGATACATGTTGAATTTAATTTCTTAAATTTCTGACACTGTATATTCATTTAGAATTGCTCTGTAATTTTTAAAAGATGAACTCCGTATATTGCTGCTATTCTTCAATTTGGCAGAGGGATAGTTATTTTGACAGTATTATGAAGTAATGGTATTAATCATAGATTTTTATTTAAAGAACATTAGGACTTCAGTAAATATTAGATTTGATTTATAATTGGAGAATCTGAGACCAAAAGATACTGAAATACTTTTAGAAAGTTGCATACTTCTGGTAGTATCAAACCTAGAAGGAGAACCCAGGATAAGACCTTCGTTCTTATCCAATGTGGCTTGTGTTATACCATACCACATGATTAGTATCTATAAATTTAGACTCTGATACGTATAGAAACTATGACTTTGCCGTGATTACTAAGCAATATTCATTGAGAATAGATCCAGAAGATAGGTGAGGCTAGGGATTTCAGAATGCTGATCTGTGGGGGTACAAGTTTCAGAGTTGTGCACTATAGAAAGTATGACAGCTGACACTGCTAAGAGATATACCAATAATGTGAAATTTTAAATTTAACAAGAAAAATTTTTACAATAATAATTACATTTATTATAAAATTTCAGACTTATTCTTACATCCCAGAAACTTATTCTGTGATGACAGTTTTTGACTTGAGCCTTACTTAGCTTTGGATGAAAATTGCTCAGCATTTAAAGTTACTGTAATCATTTCAACTACTGGAGGACAGTAGTATTGCCTGGCACCTTTCCAACTTAAAAAAATAAGTATAAACACAAGTGTTAAAGATATGACAGTGGAATTTAATACTAAGGAACCTGTGATTAGAATGACAAGAAATACCAGAAGTCTTTTTTCCAAGTAATCCATGGTACTGTCCAGTGATTTTTAAGTGAATATACTTGTCAGAAGTAGCCACAGCCGGTGAAGCTAGATAGGTTCAGGTGTAGCTTTTTTAATATTTATAACGTGTCTATTTGGCCTTCAAAAACACCCACCAATGAAGTTCTCTGTGAACAGATGTTATAGATACAGTGAATAAGCCACAATCTTGCTCCTCAGGAGGGCATTGCCAAACAGAAGATACTTAAAAAAAAAATAATGACCAAATAAGACATTATTATTTCGTTGTTGAAACAGAATTGAATTAAATTCTATTTGTTTTTTGTAGTAAACCATTTCAGTTTTTAGGAAAAATACTTTAATGTTGCTTTTTTTTTGCTACTGAAAATGTCATCTAAACAAAAAGATATAGCGAAAGATGTGATTTTAATGCTTAACCACCTGTCATTAGTGCCACATAATTATACTAACAAAACTATTTAGAGATTTAAGTCTGCCTGCTTATGTAAATTCTAGTAATGCTTAGATAAAGAATTTGTGAAATTTGAGCTTTTCCAGTTTTTGCCATTGGCAGTAGCAATTGGTATACAAACAGAGATGTCTTTAATATATGTAATAAATTGATTTTTATTGATTATTGTATACATTATTCCTAAAAGGTAATTTTAATGTTTCCTCTAACCCAAACAAAAGCCCCCTCAAATGTTCTTCTTGTAAGATAAAAGTACTGCTATCTGAGTATCAAAGAAATTCCTTCATAAACTTATAAAAAATAATTGACTATTTGTTTACCATAGGAATATGATGAAGAATGGGCCAAGAAAATTCAGAGTGAGAAGTTTCGCTGGCATAACTCTCAGTGGCTGGAGATGGTAGAAAGTCGTCAGATGGATGAAAGTGAGCAGTACTTGTATGGTGATGATCGAATTGAGCCATACATCCATGAGGGAGATATTCTCGAGAGACCTGACCTTTTCTACAGCTCAGGTAAGATGATAACCAAGACAAAAATAAATCCTTTTAATGTATGCTATAGGGGTTTTTTGTCTGCCACCTTGCTCATTCCCAAGCTTTATAAGCACTTCTTTCAGTATGTAAATGGTCTTCTGCTAATGATTTTAGACATAACATCAGTACACACCGAGCAAACCTATTAACTCATCATTATTTTTTTCCAAGGTAGTCTTTGATGTGATCTCCATTAAAAAGGCTATAACAAGGAAAATTGCTCTTAATTTATTACTTTCTAGAATGTATAACTTAAAATGACATCTTCAGGATTTACTGCTATTTGAAACTGTGGTGTTTATTCTATATTTATTTAAATATATAGCTTACTAATTTATGTTTTGTTTTCCAGTGTATTTCATTTTAACAGTCTCATTTTGCCATGGTTTTGCTTTAGTTGGGGCTTCCCTCATAGCTCAGTTGGTAAAGAATCCGCCTGCAGTGCAGGAGACCCTGGTCCAACTCTTGGGTCTGGAAGATCCCCTGGAGAAGGGATAGGCTACCCACTCCAGTCTTCTTGGGCTTCCCTTGTGGCTCAGCTGGTAAAGAATCCGCCTGCAAGGCGGGAGACCTGGGTTTGATCCCTGAGTTGGGAAGATCCTCTAAAGAACAGAAAGGCTACCCACTCCAGTATTCTGGCTTAAAATTCCATGGACTGTATAGTCCATGAGGTCACAAAGTCGGATATGACTGAGTGACTTTCACTTGCTTTAGTTTTGAAATAGTAACCGCTATTTGATTCTCTGATTGGGAAGATTTAGACAGTTTATAACAATAGCTTTTTTCATTCTACACTCCGCTAGTATTTTCAAGATAAAACTTAATTTTTACATGAATCTTACATTTATTATACCCTTGTTGATTCTCCCATCCTTCCTTTGTCCAGGGATTCTGTACTTAGAGCCTAAGTTGTTGCATATTCTGCCTTCTAATATGTTGTGAAGTGAAGTCGCTCAGTCGTGTCTGACTCTTTGCGACCCCATGGACTGTAGCCTACCAGGTTCCTCCGTCCGTGGGATTTTCCAGGCAAGAATACTGGAGTGGGTTGCCATTTCCTGCTCCAGGAGATCTTCCCGACCCAGAGATTAAACCCAGGTCTCCTGCATTGTAGGCAGATGCTTTACCATCTGAGCTACCAGGGACTGTTGCCAATATTAATTACTTAATTGAACTCATTTAGTTGAAGAGATGAAGGAAAGGATTTCTAAGATCTGTAGTAGGTTAGAAATAAAAGGCATTGAAAGTAATTGTATCTGAATTAATGGCTCACTTTTTTTCCTACTATGTAGTCATTCATATGTTTTCATAATTGTATGCACTATATATTGCACATAAGGCTGAATTATTTTTATATTTGATTTAAGGTACTTCAATCCTGGAAAGTTGGTACTTTACTTTGAAAATTAAATAGATTTCTTCCTAAGTGAACTTAACAGTAGTTATGAAATCTGCTTTGTGTTTCAGCCCAGATGGAGTAGATCATTAATTTCAACTAACCAGAATTTCTTAGTTCAGTAATGGCAAGCAGCTGTTCCTTACCTAGTGAGATCTTCATGAAGTAAAATAATGTAAAATATATGTGATATGAATTTTTTGATAATAGAAATCAGAATTTCTTAGAATCAGATTTCTTGCTTTGAAAATTGATAGCTACTTTTCAATGTGAATCAATGAGCAGTTTCCAAAAACGAATAAAGCTTTTAACCACTTCAGTATTTAACTTTGTTGTTTCAATACAGTTAGCTTCTGAACAGAGTTCTAAAAAATTATTCCTCTTTTCCAAAATCATTTCATTTAAATTAACCTCTTAAAATGAAAATCATAACATTTTTCTGTGAGATACAATTAAAATGTACAATTTAAGCTTTGTGAGAAATCTAAATTGTACATCTTTTTATATATCTAAATTTAGAAACAGCCACAGCTAATGGAAAGATAAATTTAAGCATTTTAGGAGTGAAATGTTATCATTAGATAGCCTCATGGTGGTTGTTTTTTACACCTGTAGCCTGAATATGGTAGACACTTGACAGCAGGGATTACATTGATATAGTTCTCATATCAAGCCATCTGTACTCTTTTAGTTCATTATTTTATCTACTTTATTTTTCATAAATAGTTCATCAACTAAAAAAATCTCTGTGGTATTCTTGATATGTGTCATGGAAATCCAGATAGTGGTAGTCTCTTATCTTTTATTATGTACAGTTGTATCTTCAGAAACATCAGAAATTTGTAGTACTACAGATTTATTTAGGTGCTTGAGCCATCTTATTTAAGTCTCTGAGTCTCCATGAAACTTTAGGCTGCTTCTGATAAAGGCAACTTTAGTAGTTTTTCAACCACAGAAGTTAAGCTAAATGGACAGTGATACCCTGGGCTTATCTTTTATTAAAAAATGAAATAGCATTTGCTATTTCCTGGTCAATAACCTTAAATGCAGATGACACTACCCTTATGGCAGAAAGTGAGGAGGAACTAAAGAGCCTCTTGATGAAGGTGAAAGAGGAGAGTGAAAAAGCTGGCTTAATACTCAACATTCAAAAAACAAAGATCATGGCATCTGGTCCCATCACTTCATGGCAAATAGATGGGAAACAATGGAAACAGTGACTTAATTTTCTTGGGCTCCAGAATCACTGCAGATGGTGACTGCAAGCCATGAAATTAAGACTCTTGCTCCTTGGGGGAAAAAAAGCTATTACAAACCTAGACAGCATATTAAAAAACAGAGATATTACTTTGCAAGAAAGGTCCATCTAGTCAAAGCTGTGGTTTTCCCAGTAGTCATATATGGATGTGAGAGTTGGACCATAAAGAAGGCTGAGCACCGAAGAATTGATGCTTTTGAGCTGTGGTGTTGGAGAAGACTCTTGAGAGTCCCTTGGACTGCAAGGAGATCCAACCAGCCAATCCTAAAGGAAATCAATCTGGAATATTCATTAGAAGGACTGATGCTGAAGCTGAAGCTCCAATACTGATGTGAAGAGCTAACTCATTAGAAAAGACCCTGATGCTGGGAAAGATTAAAGGCAGGAGGAGAAGGGGATGACAGAGGACGAGATGGTTGGATGGCATTACCAACTCAATGGACATGAGTTTGAGCAAGCTCTGGGAGATGGTAAAGGACAGGGAAGCCTGGCATGCTGCAGTCAATGGGGTCTCAAAGAGTCAGACACGACTGAGCAACTGAACAACTTCCTGGTCATTAGTATTGCCTTCTGTATTTTCCAACAGTTAAATATGTCAAAACCTATCCGTTTCTTTCTTGCTATTTTTTTAAAAAATGGATCTTCATTTTGTTATATGAAATAAGAATATATTTAACATCTCCTTATAGTTACATAATTTTTTTTCTTAATCTAAAACATGTGTGATTGTAGCTACTAATTCCCTTTCTATTATGAAATTGCTGCTGTTTGCTTTAATACTTTTACCCACAGAGGAAGTATATTATAATCTGTAAAGCTGTATTGCTATTTTCATTGTTGTTCAGTCTCTAAGTCATGTCCAACTCTTTGCGACTCCATGGACTGTAGCACATTTCTAAATGACTTTTTACTTTTTTGCTGTTCTTTCTTATTAATTGTAGTAAATATTCTTAGCTTTTAATATATAACTATATTACAGAATTTGAACCTTAAAATGGTTAGTTTCTGTCTCAAAATCATTGTAAAACTGTAATTTTCATTTACCTATATGTTTATGTGATGTATCTTATCAAGTGTGGCCAAATAAGTTATGATTTATCTATTTTAGTCATTTCTTTTTGTCACTTTCTCCACTATTGATATTCATGTTCTCCCGCACAGTCATTTCACTTTTAGCTAGTTCACCAAAGAGCTTAATACTATGTTTTCATTTGACTTTTAGAAATAAATATGTCTCAGTAACAGTATATAAAATGATACTGAGTTTTTGTAAGTTTTTTATTTTTATGCACAATATGTATAAGCCACTTTTTAAATTGAGTTTCAGAAATTACAAAGTTGATAAATTACCTATACTGGCAATAAATTTACTTTGATTTCATTTTTATTCTAGTAAATATCCCCATTTTACTCATAACCATATTTATCATCAGTACTTTGTTGTTATTGTTCAGTCACTCAATCTTGTCCAACTCTTTGCAACCCCAGGATTGACTGGTTCATCTTTTACAGTCCAAGAGATTCTCAAGAGTCTGCTCCAACGCCACAGTTCAAAAGCATCAATTCTTCGGTGCTTAGCCTTCTTCACAGTCCAACTCTCACATCCATACATGACTACTGGAAAAACCATAGCTTTGACTAGATGGACCTTTGTTGGCAAAGTAATGTCTCTGCTTTTTAATACACTGTGTAGGCTTGTCATAGCTTATCTTCCATGGAGCAATCGTCTTTTAATTTCATGGCTTCAGTCACCACCTGCAGTGATTTTGGAGCCCAAGAAAATAACGTCTGTCACTGTTTCCATTGTTTCCCCTTCTATTTGCCGTTAAGTGATAGGACCAGATGCCATGATCTTTGTTTTTTTTAATGTTGAGTTTTAAACCAGCTTTTTCAATCTCCGCTTTCACTTTCATCAAGAGGCTCTTTAGTTTCTCTTCGCTTTCTGCCATAAAGGTGGAGTCATTTGCATATCTGAGGTTATTGATGTTTCTCCCAGCAAACGTGATTCTAGCTTGTGCTTCATGCAGCCGGGCATTTTTCATAATGGACTCCGCATATAAGTTAAATAAGCAGGGTGACAATATACAGCCTTGACATATTCCTTTCCCAAGTTGGAAGCAGTCCATTGTTCCATGTTTGGTTCTAACTCTTGCTTCTTGCCCTGCATTCAGGTTTCTCAGGATGCAGGAAAGGCAGACTAGCATTCCCATCTCTTTGAGAATTTTCCACAGTTTGTTGTGATCCACAGTCAAAGGCTTTAGCATAGTCAGTGAAGCAGAAGTAGATCATCATTACTTAGAGCACCTCAAAAAAGGTGTGTTACATAACTGCTCTAAAAAAAAACTGTTTCATATAATTTAATAACCTTAATGTATATAATGCTCTACAGTTTACAAAATGTTTGCTATATATCATCTGTCTTCTCTTTGTTCTCTGGCTATTTAAACATTACATGAAAATCTTTGATTCTTTGTTGCTATCTTTGAACCAGTGAGGTAAAGTAGAAGGCTGAGAAGGACAGTGCTGAATTTATTTGAATACATGATTTCAATCAACAAGGCATAATTCCTTTCCAATATTTCTATAAAAGAATTATTAATTTTGGATACAGAATACTGAGAAACAGATAGTTCTAAAGAAACTAAAGTGCTTGTATTAGAGATTTAAGATATAATTTAACTTCTATACTTCATTCTAATGAAGAATGATTACTCATACATTAGAGTTACCTAAATTTTGTCAAGTCATTAGAGGGCAGTGTACAAGGTGTAGTTTATTGAATGAATTGCAGTGTCTTATAATTATTAGAAATTAAGTTCAGAAGTATAAATTTACCATTTTTTATTCACATAGCATCAGGCTTATTTTATTATAAACTTATTTTATTCTAGGCTTATGAAATTTCTTAAACTTGCTATATTCTGGGTTCATGAAATTTCTGGCTGAATCTTTTAAACTCAGCTTTTTTTTTTTTTTAGTATTATCTCTGTTTGATGAAATCGCTGTTTGTAGCTTCCTGTATTCCATTTATCCTTTTTACTCATTTTTCCCTTTGAAGACAATGAGAACTCTGAATCAAAATGAAGATGTTGAGAATTTAGCAGTAGTTTTTCATTTAATTTCTTCCTCATCTGGTTCACCTCACTAGATCATGTTTCATGTAATATAAACTTTTAAAGTATAATTCAGGTATTTTTATTTGTTTGTGTTTTTATCTGAGTGTTGTATTTCTGAGTGTTAGAATCTTTTATTCTCTGGCATGCTGAATATCTTTGTATTCATTTTCAATGTGTGGTATACATTTTATTTTGGCATTTTACTTTGCTTTGTTCCTCTAAAATTGGCAGATTTCATAAAACCTGATCTGCGATTATTTGGCTTTAATTGAACAGAGAAACTTGTTGATTTTTGCAGAATTAACCAACAGAGTCTTGGATAGATAGAAAATAATTTTTTTAGCTGCTTAACTCTCAATCTGTGGTGGCTTGGCATTCCCGTAATTTTGTTTTCATAACTTTTTGTGTTTAGCTGGTCTTTTGGTTTATGGAATTTTCAGCTTTTAGAGGGCCCAGAAACTAGACTAAATATTACACACTTTTATGCTTCCTCATGAGTATTTTAACTTTCCTAAAGTAATGAGGTAAACACCAAAGGTATGATTAACAATTCAACAACTAAATACAAGTCTTCAGTATACGGTATACAGCAAATAGTGAAAGTCACTCAGTCATGTCTGACTCTTTGTGACCCCATGGACTGTACAGTCCGTGGAATTCTCCAGGACAGAATTCTGAAGTGGGTAGCCTTTCCCATCTCCAGGGGATCTTCCCAACCCAGGTATCGAACCCATGTCTCCTGCATTGCAGGTGGATTGTTTACCAGCTGAGCCCCAAGGGAAGGCTGTATATCCATATTGCAAATGGATAGTATTATGGAAATACAAATTATTTTTATTTATTCATTTGCAAGCTCTATTAATTTTACCATATAATTGATTTTTAATACCCTTACTCTTAAACAGATTTTATCATTAATTCCCAACTGTCTATTGATACTCAAATCAGTTACACCTCTTCCTCCCTTCCTTCCCAACTAGGACTTTCTAACCTCTGCAGAACACAGTAATCCATCTATAGCTTTTTCACCTCCAGCACTCATTTGGCATATAAATCCCTTCCTGTTATATAATCATTTATTAATAAAATATATTATTTAATTGCATCTTAAGTGTCTATTTTATATTTCATTTAACATAAAACTCCTGAAAACAGAAATTGTGTATTGTAATTGTTTCCACAGGACCTAGCAAAGTATTATTGCATGTGGTAAGTGTAAAATGATCATCTCATTACTAAATAACTTGCTTACTATGTGCCAAATTTATAAACAATGTTGTGGATACAACCTAGCCAACATTTGCCTAGAGGTCACTTGCCAACTTGGAATACTTGAAACTTTAGAAAGCCTCAGAGCTTTTCAACTAGTAATTAGAAGAGCCATGTAGGACAGCCCTGAAGCCCTGAGATCTTTTTTCCTCAGATTCTTCTTCTTCTTAACTTATTAATAATTCTATCAAAAATAGGTTATCTCAATTCTTAGATTGGAGCAAATGGGAAAGCAGTATCACTCTAAAATCAGCAAGAAGTAATAATAAATTCTTAGGTTTAGGAAAAGGAGCACTTTATAAGCAAAGAAATAAGTACTCAAAAAGCATGGTAGTGTAACCATTTACTATAGGTAGTCCAATATATCTAATAACCTAGGGCATTACTATATAATGATTGATGTTTATAATGAAGATTGAGTTATCAAGAAGTTTTAAATTATCTTCAGTATACACAGTGAATGTAAAATGTATTTACAAGGGTTTCTAACCAAAGTGTGTGTGTCTGTGTGAAGCATTGCTTATATAAAAATTCACTTATTTGAAATATGTAATTCCCTAATCATGCTACACAAATGAAGCTGCCCAGATATAAAATGTGGAATATATTAGAGTGTTGCTGTTTACCAAAACCATACTATTTCATGTCTGTTCTATTTCCTTACTCATTCTCTTTCTTAGCCTGAAAGGCTTATTGTTCCTCTGTATCCTTTCTCACCCCCATCTTTTGTTGTCTTTTCCACAAAACTATAAGCTCCTTGAAGGCAGAGATCATGTCTTATTCATCTGTATAATAAAATAGTACTGCAACATAGGTAGGTTTAGTCACTCAGTCGTGTCTGACTCTTTGCAACCCCATGGACTGTAGCTTGCCACGCTCCTCTGTCCATGGAATTTTCTAGGCAAGAATACTGGGGTGGGTTGCTGTTTCTTTCTCCAGGGGATCTTCCCTATCCAAGATTGAACCTGAGTGTCCTGCATTGCAGGCTGACTCTTCACCGACTGAGCCACCAGGGAAGCCACTGCAACATGGTAGATGCTTAATAAATGTGCAGAACACTTAAGTATGTATGCTGTTCATTCATACTCTCAGAACTGAACATCATGCTAACATTTTTCTTCTGGATTAAATATACAGGTTATTTTCTATTGTGTTAATATAATAGTTGCCTTTTTATTCCCTACAAAGATGTTTCATTAGTTACTGTTTTCTTTCTAGATGGATTAGTTGCCTCTGAAGGAGCCATGAGTCCAGATTTCTTCAATGATTATCACCTTCAAAATGGAGATGTAGTTGGGCAGCATTCATTTGCTGGCAGGTAAACAGTCTTCCAAGAAAAATCTAGTATATGGTGTTTCCCTTGATTTTAAAAAGCTAAAATTCTCTCATCACTTCCCATTTTTCTTTTTCCATTAAAGAGTAGAAACATTCCTGAATATTTTCAAGAACATGCTTGTTTGATTATAAATTAACTTACAAAGTCACATGAAGATATCACAGTTCTAAGAGAAAAAAAAAATATATATATATATATATTTTCCCTTATTTTGGAAAATATAGGCTGTCTGTTGAAATGGGCAGTACTTTTGACAAATTAATGATGCAGGTTATTTCATGTTTTCCAAATCTAATAAAATATAAAATAAGAACACAATACATTCATTTTAACAATTATTCAGACACCACTGTTTTTTAAAAGTTGATGCTCTGATTAAATTAAGGACTTTTCCTCCTTGCATGGCATTCAAATAAAATATTTAAGGAAAAACCCTGACATGCCAGCACTATTGTAGAATTATAATAAAGCTTCCCCCAACATATATTCTGCTTCATTATTGGTCTCATAGATTTTAAAATCTTGCCAGAAAGTGTAAATAATAGTTTTCCCTTCGTATCATTACTAAGATATAATACTTTAATTTAGGATGCCATTGCAATTTCACATTAAATGGTCCAAAGAATAGGTGTAGTCTTTTTACGCTTAAGACTATTTTTTTCTTTAAATTATTGATTTAATTTTCTCTTCTAGAATTATATATTTTATTAACATAAATATTTCTGTTTGGAGAATAAGAATACAGTTGTGTGTTTAAGAATATAGTTGTATGTTCACCTGAAACTATCACAACATTGTTAACTGGCTATACCCCAATGCAAAATGTTTCTGGTGTTAAAAATTTTTTTTTAATTAGATTAAAAAAAATTTTAATAACAGTTGGTGACCAATGTGTAATAACTCCTGAATCATCATTTTATATTAGCCATTTTAATTCAGTAGTAAAATTCTTAAAATAGCAGTTACTCTTACTGCATGTAATTCACAATGATATGTTCTGCTTTAGTCTATTCTATTTTTGAAATGCAGATTGCAACCCAGTGTATTGGTTTCACAATTCACTGATGGTCATGTCAAAATTTAAAAGCATAGTGGAAAATACAGGAGTATTTTATGAAATGCAGTATCCTTATATGTAGTTCAGTAGGCTTTAGTGAACTTTAAATAAATAAATAATACTTTTCATTGGTGCACTGGATTGTCATGGTAAAAAACTACTTGCCTTAGGGAAAAAAAGTTAAACATGATTAAATACCAGAAAGCATATGCCTTTTGACTACTTCTGATGTCTCTGTCTATATTAGTTATAATTAGAGATTCTATTTATTATAACATATTCCATTTTGTGACAATTCACTGTACAGATGTTTTCTGAAACATAATTAGAAGAGGATGAAATTATTTTGCTATATAATCCTAAAGTTTATATTGAAGATTTTTTGCTGATAGCATGTAAGATTAATTTTTCTGCCATTTATGTTTCACTATGAACAAAACTTTGCTTTTGTGTCTCCTGCATATACTTCCAGCTTAAAAAAAGCAAACTAACCATGCATCACTTATTTGAGAAAGACTTAATGTTTTGTATAGTTAAGTGATTTTTAAGAACCTGATTGTATGTTTTGAGAGATGGCTACACTCACTGACTAAGTTTTGTGCTGTGTCCACAAAGATTTCAGAATTTCATTCCTCAGTTCTGTTAACAAGTTTCTTTTTACAAAAAGACTTTGGGAAAATTCTCTTACTTTTTGCACCTTTAGTTCTTTTTTAAGATTAAAAAAACCTAAGTAGCTTCTTTCACATCATAAGACACGTGACAGTAACGTTGGCTTACAGGATTAGTTAATAAAACTTCATGTAGACTATATATTTTTTCAAATAAAAAAATGGTATACTTATTTATTATAATCATTTTGAATTGAGATTGTTTGCCCTTTAAAAAGAACTTCCCCCGAGAAAGTTGTCTTTCATCTCTTGTCTTTCTTAATTTTTCAGGCCTTAAATATAGTAACTGTATCATTTTCTCTTTATATTTCCAGAAGAAATAATTTACATTGAATTTCCTTAGTTTTTTTTGTAGGTAACAAATCAAATAAAAGGGGACTCTAAATTTTATCAACAAGATACAAAGAAACATAATATAGCCAAAAACTCAAAGAGTTGTTCCTTGCTACCTTGTTTTGTTGATCCTCTGTAGAATCATTTGCTCTTCCTGTTACGCAATTATTTTTGGTTGGTTAGGATTGTCTTCTAATAGAATTCCTATGTTGTTCTTTGTAGTAACTATGGATTTAGTCTTAGTTTTTTAATTCTACAAATATTTTATTTTAAATTGCTCCATAATTATTCACATATTTTGGCATGATAATTTTCATGCATAATGTCCCAGATGTGAAATTTTAAACTAATGACTACCTTTAGGTTTCTGAGATCCAGTAGGTAAATATAAAACCTATTGGATCAAATATCATTGACTTAAAATAATATTTTTGAAATATTTCATTTTAATTGATTTTAAGCAAAATGGGATTAAAAAAAATGTAAACGAAGATGTTGAACTCTTCATCTCTACTGTTAAAATGAGAATAAACAGACTTAATGAACAACATGAAGAATTTGGGTTAATTATGAAAGAAAAATGTCTTGATTAAATTTTAAATATTGAAAAAGCTGATTTTAAGAACAGGAGATATTATCTATTTTGAGAGGTTTTTGTTCCTTTAAATGAGGAAAATTATTTACATGACTTAAAAATTCATTCCCTGTTCATCATATGTCTTTGATTAACAAGCAATGTCAAGTTAATTGAAATAGTAATAATTTTTAAAATAATATATAAAATGTGAATGTTTATAATTACAAATGTTTTTAATGATTTGAGAACATGAAAGAGTATGACAGTGCCAAGTGGCATGCTATTCAGCCAGTACTCATGACTTTTCAGTCTTTGTGGGTTTTTAACATGACAGTTTCAGTGGGTTCAGGTGAAGTATATGATCCCAAATTTCTGCAAGGTAAAGAATAAATTTCTAGTTTGTGTGAGATTTTTTTTTAATTGTTCAGAAAAAAATTCTTTAATTTCTTTTTAAAATGACCACATTTCATAATGTGACAAATTTGTTAAAACGGGGAAACTGAGTCAAATTTAGAGAATGATTTAAACAGTTCAAATTTTATGTTTTCTTAAAATCCAAGTCATGGTGCCCTTCTTAATATGAATGTCTACATTTGTGTAATATGGCAAGGCCGTTTAATTGGAAACCAGTGAAAATTCTTAAGCGCATACATCCTATTCTGCAAGAGGCACTGGGTGTTTGATAAAATACATACTGGCAGTTAGTGAATCCTGGATTTTAGACATGTGTCACTATCAGTTTGAACCTCTTGCTACCAAAATTTCCCAACATTTAGGGGGTAATGCAAAATATATTAGGGCTCCAAGGCATTAGCTATTGAGTTGCCATTCCCAGAGGGTCAGATGTAAATCTTGCACTCCCAAAACCTGAACTGGTATTAGAAAGTAAATTGGAACTTGCTATTGAAGCTAATTAAAAATAATAGGAGTAAGACTGGCTTTTTTTCTCCCTTATATACAATGTATCTGTACCATATTTTTGAATCTTTTTTTTTTTATAACTCTTACTTTTCAAGACTAACAAGAACCTCATGTTGAGAATTTTTAAACTGTTTCCAGCTTTTACAAATCAGTTTTTGTTGCAGTAAAAATGGTCCATTTTTCTTTTATAGGAATCCAATTTTCGTAAACTGGAAAAAAATTTCAGGGACTGCTTGGATTTTCTTGGGGCTTTGAAAAATATTTTTCAGAGGGCCTGGAGTTCTTTGTGGTTGGCATAATGATGTCACTTACTGATGGTTTCACTAAAGTCGGAGATGAACTAGATGTGTGAATTATCTGAGCCATCTGATTCTCACACTTTCATTTTCTCTGTGTGTGCCTGCCTCTTTTTTCCTCTTTCTTAAAATACTTGGCCATTAACTTTTCTGTTCATTGTATATATTATATGTTTCACACATATATATATTTTATTCTGTTTTCTCTAATTTATTTTCTTTAAAACATTAAATCGTTGTTGAAATGCTAGTCATTTGCACAATTTTAAATGTTAGTCAGTTGTACAACTTTAAAAAGTACTAGATAGGACTAACACATTATTTTGTTAATATGTAAGTAGTTATCTTTTATCAATATTTGTAAATGTATAATTTTTCCTTCATATGAAACTCTACATGTAAAATTTTGACTTATTCTTTAGCTATAAGGTCACTTTCATTATACTCAACTATTTAACTCAGTTATTTCACTTGAGAAAAGCAACCTTAAAATTCATTATTCCCTGTCTAAAAGGCATTGTGTATTATTATTATTTTCTGCCCTTTGTATTATTCCTTGAATTACATATTAGGATATTATGTTAAAGCAGCTATTCAAAAGGTAAATCAAATTATTGTCTATAATACAGCCTTTAATTTGGCAATTGAGAAATTTTCATATATTGAGATAAAATTAAATATGCTTATAAAATCCCTTATTTGATAAGTCCTCTATAAAGTTTTAATTGATTAAACCAAACTCTTCCATTTGTTCTCCTAGTATAAGTTTTAGTGACCTTCATTACTGTGGCAGTAATATAGAAATTATATTGAAGGATCAAAAGAAAGTGAAAAGAACCTCATAGAAACATTTCCTTTGATAGATATTGAGACCAACCATATGCTCTGCAGTATTTTAAGAACTAAATGAATTATTATGAAATACTTATTAAATCTTTTAAGAATAATCATTAAAATCACTGCTTTATTAAGTATGTAGCTTTTTTGTTTCTAATTTCTTTCCCTATAACTTTTTCTCAGAGGAGAACATGCTTCATGAAGTCTTTAAAAAAACTTCTAACTTTAGTAATTTTTCCAGTCATGGTGAATACAAATAAAGCAGCCAGTTTCCATTTTCACCTATCAGTTGC